TATATATATATTACAAAATCCTGTTTTACATTTTTTTTGTATATTTACTTTTTTTATTATATTTTATTATATATTGCCTACTCGTGTCAGTTATTTAAAAACCTTGTTGTTGTTATTATTATTATTACTACTATTATATTTTGTTATAATTTTATACAATTTCCTGTTTAAAAAAAACCTATTTATAAAACATTAAAAAACATAAAATAATTTAAAAAAGGAAATTATATCAAATATAAAAATTAAAAAATTAAAAATACCATATTTTAAAAACAGGAATTTATAAAATAAAATATTTTTGAAACAGGAAACTGCACACTTGCACATTATTCACTGACACGAGTTCTCTGTTAATAAGACAAGCGAGCACTAGTTAATGCTGTGTGTACAGTATGTGCATCTCTCACTTGGTCGTTCACACAGACTCCCATTCACAGAGTTGACGCAGGTCGCCGCCTTTAGTCCGTTAAAAGTGGGCTCAGCCAGGAACCCACAAAAACCAGCGTCGCTGGGCTCGCCCGGCAGCCACTGCAGCGTGGAGTTGGTGAAGGGGGACATGTCCTCCCAGCACCAGTAGGAGACATTGATCTTCCTCAGACCCACCCACGGAGTGATCACTGCTTTTGACTGCAGCACACAAAACAAGTCATATTCAATTCAGTTTAATGTGTGAAGAGCTTTACAAAAAACTAGTGCCTTACACCCCCCAGGTGATAAAGTCGTGAAAAAAACACATGTCATAAGGAAGAAAGACTGTGAAAGTGTGCCGCAATCTCACTTGCAATGATCTGTTATGCATCTCTTTGAGGACGAACTGGACTTTCTTCTGCGTGGTGAGGGTTATTATGATGTTGAAAATACTGGTACTACCTGACATTTTTGTGCAAATGATGATTTTTTTTATTCTTTGATGCATAGAAAGTTCAAAAAGAACAGAATTTATTTGAAATAGAAATCTTTTATATCATTATAAATGTCTTTACTCTCACTTTTGATCAATTTAATATGTTCTTGCTGAATAAAAGTACTAATTTCTTTAATAAAAATATATAAAATCAGCAAAACCCAGACAATATCCTATCTGTATTGCCAAATAAAATGACAGACATCCCCATGCATGGTAATAATTTGAACTTTTTTTAACCGTTTTAAAATCTAATCCTGTCTGAATAGTTCAAATGAGACACAGGAAGCAGACGTCCTCTTTGTTCCCGTCACTTACCCCCTCTGGGACTGCAGGTGTTTCTCAAGCTCTCTGTGTCATGGGGTGCCGCTGTGTCCCAGGACATACAGGTGGAGGTAGTGGAGTTCCACACACACTTCACGCCGGGCACAGCCGTCACACACTCCAGCTGCTCCGAGAAAGCAGCGCAGCTCGCAGGGGTGAACCTCAGCACATCGCTGAGCATCAGGCTGTTAAAGCCTCCATACACGTACATCACCCTGACACACACGCACAGAAAGAGACAGAGATTAACCTCGAGCATCTCTGAAGGAACGAGAGATGGGAGGGGAGAGGTATGAAGGGTGAGGAGGAAGAGGGCAGTGTGAATGAGGAAGAACATGAAAAGGAAGTTGGGAGGAGTGATGAATAAAGCGTGAGACTGACAAGTCAAACAGCAAAAGAAGTGTTGTGCCACAGCTCCCCACAGAGGGGTCACTCAGTGGTCATATCGGCACTGACAATGACGCTGGGAATTATGGGTAAGAATACAGATCACAGTGAGCTCACATCAAAATCTCACAAGAGTCTTCTAGACAGTCTTCTGTGAGAGTGTGTGACTGTGTGGATAAGTGCGGTTAGAAGACTCATGTTTGTTCAGCTGGCAATGTGAAGCACTAATGAGACATGTTATTTATGGATAATGATTCTGCTTTTGACTAATCCGTACGGAAGGAGATTACAGGCAGATTTAAATATAGACTTCATATTCAAATATCACAGAAATAGAAACACTTTTAAAAAGGAACATTCAGGACTCAATACAACAGGAAATCATTTTGACTCTGTTTGTAACAAATCAAACAGCCTGTTTACAGTTTATATGGCAAGTTTGCCGGAGTGTTTGAAAGCAAAAATATGATGCTCTTATTTTGTTAAATCACTTTAATGAATTATTCAGTGCAAATTATTAGCATTAGAGTTGGTTTGGTTTCTTTAGTAATGTGATATACTGTACTATAAGTGGGACTGAATATTTTCACATACTGAGCACATATAAATTATTGAGATTACCCATTGTGATACACAGCTGAGTGGCCAAAACGGTTGACGTCATGGTGAAGATCTGGATGGGGCAGTACAATCCACTCATCACAAGCTAGAAAAGAGAAAATGGTAGACAAAGTGAATCTCAGCCAGTGCTGCCCGAATACGTTTTAGAGACATCACTACAGAGAAGAGCTCATGAATATTAAAGGCAGAGTAAGTGATTTCTGGTAGCCAATGTTGATATTTGAAATCACCAAAACAAACACACCCCTACCCCAAAAGGGTCTTGCCCCTATTTTGATAGCTCCGCCCCACATATACGTACGCAACCCAGGCAACGATTAGTTCTGTGAAACAAAGCAAAACCAATGTTACACCATGTCTACGGACGTGAGCGGCGCGGCACAACAAATCCCCGACAGAAAACTGCTGCCAGGTTCTATTTATGACGTGCTGACACAAATTTCAAAGGGTTTTCAACGGCCCTTTGATCGCGTCCAGTGTA